TCTCCCGTACATATATATACGAACTAACAAAAAAAAAATATTTATTTAATAATTGATAATGATAATGATAATAATAATAGTAGTTGTAACGGATACATAACATTATTGATTTTTACTTACGTTTTTCACATTCTTCTCAGAAAAAAAATAATAATAATAATAATAATAAATCACAGAAATATATATAGATATATATATATATATCTCGGTGAAAAATGTCAACAATTTCTTTCTTCTTGTTTAACTGGAACAACTTCGTAAAATTTCGGCTGAAAAAAAAAAAAAAACAAAAAAAAATAACGTCAATCAATCAATCAATCAATCAATCATCTTAAAATAACGTAATTTGTTATTAAAATGTACACAAAAAAAAAAAAGTCAATATTTTATTATAATTAAATTTGTATAAGAGAAAATGAGAGAGAGAGAGAGAAATAAAAATTATTATTTTACGCCATCATTTCATTCTTTCAATGAATGAATGAATGAATGAATGAATGAATGAATGAATGAATGAATGAATATCTATCGAGTATCTAAGTGAGTTAAATTCAATTTTTAATTAAATCCTATACATTATTATTATCATTATTATTTAGTATAAAGCATTATATATCTACTTAATACGTAAACATGCAATACAAATTTAATCGTACACGTGTGTTAACAATAATAATAATAATAATAATCACCAAAAAATAAATTTAATTAATTAATTAATTAATTAATAATTTTTACTGCGTCTACATAATAGAACTAGAAAAAATTTAGGGGAAATATATTAAATTACATAAATTAAAACCAAAATAATAATAATAATAATAATAATAATAGAAATATAAGAATCTTTTGTGTGTGTGTGTGTGTGTCATTATTTGTGAATGAAATATCGACCCAAATAAAATTAATATCTAATAATAATAATAATAATAATAATTATAATATAATCGAGCGAATTGCACAGAAAAAAGAAAAGAAAAGCGTTTTAAATTACATTACAATCAATCAATCAATAAATAAATTATTTATTAATAATGCCACGTGTGTTATTCACATTTAATCAAAATAAATAATAATATTTTATGTATTTATTTAACTCACCGATAATATATATTTATTTATACGGTATATAAAAAAAAAAAAAAACAAAATTAATAATTTATAAATTTTTTTTTCTCTCATTTTTTTTCCCTAATACAAAAACGTACGTATATAATACGATCTAAAAACAAAAAAAACAAAAAAATAAACTTGACAAATAATTAATAAAATCAATTTTAATTTATTTTTATCAAAAAAAAAAAAAATTTTAATGATGTGTTATTCCTATTATTATCATCATTATTATTATTATTAAAATAATATAATTTTACGTGGTGCGAATATTTTTTTTTTACATAAAAAATATTACAAATAATTAATAAAATTCATCATTTATCGTGCATGTTTATATACAATTTAAAAAAAAACATTTCAACAAAATAAGAATTAATAGCTACACATAATAATAATTGTCGTGTTTAATGGTGAACATAATAATAATAAATTATGGTATTTAAATCCGTTAAATATAAAAATAAAAAATAAAAAGTAACACTTTTACGTTTTAAAAGCTTAAAATAAATAAATAACATTATTATTATTATTATCGCTCGTACAAAACATTAACAAAACAAAAAAAACGAAGCTTTTAACATGTTATTAGCAATAATAATAATAATAATAAATAAATAAATAAATAAATAATTTTTAATGTAATTATTGAAAATCAGTCTTTTAATTTAATACATACATTATTTTATCGGAGAGTTCAAGACTGATGATATCCATGATATTTATATAAATACTATGACTAGACAGAGACAGAGAGAAGGGGGGAGGGGGAGGGGGAGAGAGACAAATAATTCATTCGGACGCGGTATTAAATGTATGTAACTAACGATAATTTTTTATTCAACACTCTAACACTTTCTAAACTTACTTGGTCGTGAGAATTATCAGCGGATTTATTACTTTCATCATCTTCGTCGCTATCATCTTCTCCAGACGAATCACCAAATTTACTACGTAATTTTCCATCTGGAAAAATAATAGTAATAATAATAATAATAGGGATTATAACCGTTTGAGGATGATGGAAGAAGAAGAAGCTTAGAAAAAAAATTTACCTTTGTTATAACAATCACCAGAATTATTGTGATTGGTTTTAGCTTTTGATAGATTATCGTAGCAATTGAGGCACACTCTGAGAGGTTTAGAAGACTGATTGGGTAGTAAAAACCTTTTATTGGAACAAGGACCGCAAACGACGGATCCGCATTTTCGACAGTGATGCTAAATTATAATAATTGCGCATTATAACAAACTTTTAGTAACTGTTAACGTGTAAAAAAATTCGAAAAACTCACTCGTCGTGTCAGCAACGTAAATTGAGTTTTTTTACAATGCATGCAAACGTCTGCTTCCGTATCCGGTATCCAAACAGCCGCATGAGTTTCGCTCGCTTTTTTACCACTTTTTCTTAACAAATCCCCAACGCATTTATTTATATGAGCGACCCATTCTTCTTTTTCAACTGATGTAGCTGCATAAACAGCAAATGATTTCGTTGCCGTTTGTATGACCCAACCATTACGATGTTCTAAAAAAAAAAAAAAAAAGAAATTTAAACGTACTCATTTATAACGGTCACGACATTCTTTTCAAAAGAACTTTATAATAGATTAACCGATAACATATTAACATTAACAATTAAAAAAAAAAATATCTTACGGTCGTTATCGTCGAGAGATTCCAATTTAACTTCTTCTAATGGTATTATATGTTGTTTGTTATATTTTTTTTTACTAATAACAATGTTTCCATAAACTAAAATATCGTTAAATAAAAAAAACTGTCTCGGTTTTTCTTTTTTTCTACACATTTTCGTGAGGACACCTTCTCCGACTAAAACTCTACCGGGAACTGCCAAGGGCTGGAAATTAAATCAAACTCCATATTTAATATCAACATTTTAAATATTTTTTTTTTAATAAGGTACATAAACATATAACATACCTGACCAGAGCTCCCAAAACAATTTTCGACTACAGCAATTCTATGAGCATTTGCTTCACTATTAACTAAAAATAATTAAAATAAAAAAAGAAAGTTACTGATAGTAAATTAGGGCAACCAAACTACTACTCATCATCATCATCATTATAATTTTTTTTTAAACAATTCTTTTTTAAATGTGAATGAACTTGAGTTAATCACAATTACAATACTCATAATTTGAATTTCAAAGTTAAAAAAAAACTGTTTTAATAAACAATTTTCTAATCTAAATGTTATCATTTCATGATAATTATTAATTATAGGGCAAAAAAAAAATACTAATATGAGTTTCGAAAAGAAAGTTTTGCACAGATATTATAATTTTTTTTCAAATTCTAAATAAAATCATATGAATAATTCTAAGAAACGACATGAGCAATTGTCAGAATTAAATGTAGATCATCTAACATAACAAAAGGAAATATTTCAAAGCCCTTGAATGACTCATGTAAATTTGATCAAATTAAATGATTCAATTTTAAATTGTTATGTAATGTAAATTTTTTTTCTCAAATATCCTAAAAAAAAAATGAATTTTACAAAAAATCTAAACCTAAACCTTAAATCTATATAAAATAAATATGTCGATTAAAAATTGAATTTATTTTAAAAAAGGTTATTTTTCAATTTTTTTTTTTTCGGGCTGTGTTAAAAATTTATTTATTTAACATAAATATATAAAAATTAAATAAAAACTATTGTTTGTAATTAATATTTAATGGTTTAAATGAAATGTAATTGAAAAAATAATGGGTGTAATTACAATAGAGATGTGTTTACAAATAAGTTTTAATTATTATTAGTATTAGTAATCAAACTTTTGTTAAATTATTTAATATTAAGATATAAATGTTTTACAATGAATGTCTCACATAATTAATAGTTTTAAAAATTAACATTTTGGAGGGACATTGTTTATTTTTTCTCACTTTTTTTAATTAATGTATTTGATAATTGAATGAATAAAGTAGTTGCAAGGTGTCACAATTATTCACACCCAAAAACTAACAATTAATATATGTAATAATTATTATCAATTTACAAAAATTGATATAGAAAAAAGGTTTTGTATGGTATTGTCATATTCATATGTTAGTTCGAATTAAAAAAAATTTAAATTCATGTAATTATACACTTGCAAATTATGCACTTGCAAATGTAGCATAAAAAACTTATTTTTCCAAATAACATATATATAAAACTAAAATTTTACAAAAAATTAAAGATGCAATCTTTAATTTTCTTTTTAAAATATTTGAAATGAAAAAGATGGAATTTTTTTTTAAAAACAATATTATACTCTATTAAAGTAGAGGTGAATTTTAAAATTTAAATTTTAAGTATGACAAATAGGCAATGAATGGGAGAACATGACGTCACAACCTTGGATGAAAACTAATAAAGAATTAATAACAAAAATTTATAAAACATTTAACATCTGCTAATTTATTATTTAATATTTACTCACCTAATCTATCGACCATTGTTAAAAATTCGTCTTCACGTATCCAAATAACAATAAATATTATCTTAACATAAATGACAACAAAAACACGACTATGGCTAAGCAGAATTGCCAACTGACGAAATTAATTTTAAAAACTAGCGGTCAACATTATGCAATTCGAAACTCTAAAACCTTATTCAAACAATTATGAGAAATTTTATATTTTTTCTATTACAATAAAGTAATTCATTGATATTAACAAATAAAAATTTATTTAATTTCTATTGTCAAAAGTAAATATTTAATATTTTTGTTATATATAAGACAACTACCAGACAGTTAATAAGACAACTGACATTTATATGATGTTTTACTCTAAATGAAGAAAGTATAAAGCTTATAAAAAAAAAGATATTTACATTCTTATACTAGGTAGTGGATAAATAAATTTCAAATAATAATATTAACCTCTTTTAAATAATACATACAACTACAGTATTGACTATAAATATTTGTTTGATGCAAGACTTATATATTGTTTAAAACTGATGAAAATGCAAAAAAAAATATAAAACAGCAATTATTCTAAAACTATTTGAATGTGAAAAATTAAAAACTTTTTACAGTTATATAATATAGGATTAAATTAATATTATAAGTTTATATATATAGCTATACTATAAGCTTATGTAGCATATAATTCTGAATTATTTATATAAAAAATTTTAAAAAATTTCTAGCAGCTTGAAAGCGTTTGAAAATCGAAAATCAAAAAATTAAATCAAATAATTAAAAATACTTTTAAGTAATAAAAAATTTCAAATAATATATTAAAAAAAAAACAAGAATACAAAATAAAAATTAATTTAAATCAATATACTAACTTTTTTTAATTATTACATTGATTCAAAGGATTTTCTGGAGCTCTCATCCAGTCTTTGTTTAAAATTTGCTTCAACTGTGAAAGTCTCAAAGTTGGATTTTCTGATTTAATTCTAGGCAAATTAGCAGCTTCATATGCTGTATAAGCTGCTTTCATTCTTTTTTCAGGATGTTTGTCCAATTCAGCATCTTTAATGCTTAATATTGCAATCGCATCATTAACTGTTCTGGCTTCCAAGCCATCCACCTGCAACCTGTTAATGTTTTCTTCTAATGGTTTATCAATATGAGTAACTGGTTCTTTTTTCTTTGTTGCTGCAGCATTTCTTTTTTCAGTTTCCTCTAAAATTTGTGCTCTAGTTATTTTAGATGCAGACTGTTTGGAGGGTGGATTCAAGCTAGTTGTTTCTTTTTCCAATAAGTTTTTAACTTCAGCTTTTTTTTGTAAAAGTTCAATTCTTTTTTTTTCTTGCTGTTCCTAAGTTTAAAAAAAAAAAAAAAAAAATAGATTGTGAAAACAATATAATCAGAAAACCTTAACTATATATTAATGAATTTAAATCCATAAATTTTAATTTATACCTTTATACCTTTCTTTGCAATTTTTTTTGTACATGCTTATCATCGTCTTTCCAATATTCATCTTCTTTTTCTTTTTCTTTCCTTCGTTGATCTTCTTCTTTTGCTGCAGCTTTTCTAGCTCTGGCAGCTACAGCTTTGCTGTTCTCTCCAGAAAATTTTTTTGGCATATTTAAATAAATTTCAACTGTAATATTATCAGAGTTAACAAAACTATTTAAATTATCACATACTAGTCAATAATTTTTCCCACTGCTTTGTTAACTTTTAAAAATATGCAGAACAAATAAAATTTAAAGAGATTAAAATTTCACTAATCAATTCCCGGTACGTAAAATGGAAATTTAAGTTTTAAATTCAGAAAATTTTCATAGAGTAAAAAAGGATGTTTTTAAAAAATTATGTTGGCAGTAACTTTTCTAAAATCTGCTTTTATGATTGTCAGTTATTCGTTAGAAAGTGATTTATTTTTTCATTTGCCAATTCCTTTAGGTGATATAATTTTATAATAAAAGTATTAAACTTATTGTACATAAAAAGTTTATTATCGATTTCTATTGATAGATTGTAGCATATAACTAATTTATAGAAAATTAATTTTAAAACAAAGCATGTCTGAACAAGAAGAAATAAGTAAATCGGATGCTCCTTCCGAAAAAAAGGTAATTGTTTTGTTTGGTTTTTTGCCCATGGCTCTGCTTTAAATGATTTGATTTTTTTTTCCTTTTTTAATTACATGACTAATTTTAAAAAAAATAATCAAATTAGGATATTATAAAAACTTTTTTGTCCTGCGTTTAATTTTAGAGTCCTTCATACTAATTATAAAAATCATCTTTTATTTTATTTCATTATGGCATTTTTATTTTAATAATTATTTTGAGTACACTTTATTAAAATTAAGATTAATTATTATCATTGTAGTAATGATTTTTAAATTGGCTAAATTTCTGTATATATTATATATATATATTTTGAAATATGGCAAATCATTGTTTCGTTTGTGAATTAATAGATTTGAAAAATGTGATTGGATTCATATTGAATAAAAAATATTCATGTCTTTCTTAATAAAAACTATTTTATTTTATGTATTTAACTGTAAAAAGAACACATAATGTCTTAAATATTTTTTAATGTTGAATTTTTAAAAGTTTTATCAAGGTAACTAATTCTAAATTTCAGTTATCATCAAAAGAAGTAGAAAAAATAGAAGAAGCTAAAATAAAAGCAAAATTTCCTATGGCAGCTAATAAACCTTTGAGTGGACATTCAGCTTTCTTACAAAAAAGATTAGCTAAGGGGGTAAGTTTAGTTTTCACGAAGCGAACGAAAGGTGTAAAATATTATATTAACAATGCTTATTAACTTATTCATATTAAAATATATTCACACTAACATACATTTGAGGTTTAAAAATCCACAAACTTCTATTTGGAATATATGTTATATTTAGTAAATTATTTAAATCGAATAAATATCATTTTAAAAAATAAGAAGTTTAAGAAATACTCGAGAATGTTTGATACAGCAACCTTATTTTAATTTAAATTACTTTGATGGAATAATTATATATAAAAAAAAAAATTTAAATTAATTTCAGCAAAAATTCTTCGATTCTGGTGATTACAACATGGCGAGGCAAAAACAAGCCCCCAGAAGCACTCCAACAACTGTTCCCGTGTATGGAACCGGAGAAACCATACCCACTCCGGAAACTGTTCCTGTGCGTAAAACATCAATAATCCAGCCTAAATTTCCTTCTAGTGCTGTTTAAATTTTTCTATTTGTTACCTTTATTTTTAATTTTTTTTTTTTTTTAAACATTTTACAATTGTGCGCTCATACTATTTCCACTCAGTAATTTCTTCTGTGATCATTTCATGTGTATATATATAAATATAAATATACATTTCAAGAAGTTTTTTTTTATATTATTATTATTATTATTATTATTATTATTATTAGAAAAA